CAGAGAACTGCGATGGCTAAGGCTAGTTTAAAAAAAGAATTAGCCCAATCCTGAAAAATAGAAACATCTCAATGACTAACAAAATTAAAGTTCTGAAATTCTATATATGGTCAACCCTTCTGTGAATGCGGGACAGTCACTAAAGATGGTGAATATTAGCCTATCGTTACCCAGAAGACCCAATAACACTTAGAAACAATGTCGGCTTCCTAGGAAACATACAGTGTAAGCGCTTAAACACAAACCAGCTGACAAGATTTTTTTTAAAGTTTACAGCCGAGTATTCATTTTCACCTGGGTGAACTGAGGAAAATTCGTGTAATATAATGTACTGAGAGGCAAAAGAAGCAAGAACAACTAAAGCATTCATAAAACACACTGCCCTCAACAGAGGTTTGTCATAGGAAAATAACATGTTAATTCATCCAATTAACACAGCAATGATAGTGCCAGTAGGTGGCTGCTTTTAGTGTAGATTTAGCCCGACTATGTTATTTCTGTGACCTTGACCTTGGGGCAGAAAGTCAGTACCTTGTATGACCTGCACTGACCCATGGAGTTCATGAGAGTTTTTATTTGTCGAACTTGGATTTGTACCAACACCTGGCCAATGGCTTCAGCTAATTGAGCAGCTGTCCCTGGTGGTGGTTGCAACTGGTTGAACTGCCTCTGGGTAGTGTCCCTAACGTGCTCAATTGGGTTTTAAATCAGGTGAACGAGCCAGATGAGGCAAGAGATTGATGTTGATCTGCCCCAGGAGCTGCTGCGTTATACGAGCATTTTAAGGTCTCGCGTTGTCTGCTGGAAAAAGAAATGTAGGTGCCTCTGGAAAAAGGGCACCACATGAGGCTGAAGAAATTTGTCAATGTAGCGCTGTTCTCTGACCACATTTCCTTGTCCATGACCCACATTCTGGAAGAACACTGGTCCAGTTCTTTGATTTAGACCGATGACTTCGTGATGTTTAACCCTCACCTCCACGACGTTGCCATCAGCGTAGCACATCGGTTCTGTGCGCCACACATGTAAGCACCATTTGACGGATTAACGCAGAATCTACTATTGTCGGCAAACATCATCCTACTCGATTGTCTGCTTCTCGAGTTCGTGTGAGCCTGTGCCCACAGAAGTCAGTCACGGCGGTGGTGAGGGGTCAGAACTGGCCTGCGACGTGGCCGTCTGGACCGGAGGCTTGTAGGACATGTAGACTGTAGATGGTGGAGACGTGCAAGCCTGTAACATTAATTTTGCGACATGTTCAGCAGACTCCCCAGATTTCAATCGTCCAATCGCCCTTTCATGGTTTTTGTTGTTGTTTTTTTCGAATGAAAGTCTCAGCATGTTGATTCTTCTTTCGTTTCCAACTAAATTCCACATTTCGAGGCTTCAAATGTGTGGGACAGGCCTACATGACCTCACGACCATAAACACACTACTGAAATGATGTGACAAGTGAGCAGGAGCGGCTCGTGGTGCAAAAAATTGGGCGTGCACAATTAAGACAGCGCAGATTGAAGATAGTCAAGGGCATAGTAAATGAGATGGTGTATGATTTTAATGTCTTTGAGCTAATATGAGGACCTAATGCTTTTACTTTTTTTTTTCTTTTTTGTCACTCTGATTTCTAGAACTAAATTTATTTGTTACCAAAAACACCAATTTCGTTCATCCTGCATAAGAAGGGAACACTCAAGCAATAAAGCGTTCACTATTCACACACTTTTTAAGGGACACCTCAACAGACGGTGACCAAACCTTATCGCGTTCATATAGCTCGGGTATCATTATAAAACTCTCAAGACATGCTGCACATTCTGCAACTGAAGTCTGGAAGGGTTGACAGCAGCTTGGGTGAGAGGGGTAGTCTTCAGAATGCAGTTTTTCTCTTCTTTGTAGATTTGCTTGACGTCAGCAAACGAGGCCATAGTTTGGTTGTCAGGACTGATAATCTGGCACTTTTCGCTGAGCCAGATGTTGCGAATGCACTTGAGGAGATGCCCAGTGTCAAACAGCAGAACCCAAACACGTCTGTCGTCAGGTGGATGTTTGGCTGTTGCACTACATCCCCCTGGCCGTTCAAACAACTTGCAATACTGTTGGTTCACTTTTATGCAACAACTTCATCATGACAGCCAACATGTGAGTTGCTTTGCTGTCTGGATTGTTCTTCGCCATGCCACTTAGCATCTCACCAGAAAATGCAACATTTGGTCAAATGTGGACTTCGTCCACCAAGAGAAAAGCGTTTCGCTGTGGTGGTTTCTGCATTTTCTCGAAAGCTTGTTTTTCATAGCACTTCGTCTACTTCAACAGATTCCACACACGACTGAAGCTTGTGCTTACTTGGCAGCACCAAGTTGTCTGTTAGCTGTTCATAGCTGCACTGAGGAAATATTTCCATTGCAAAGATTGTTTTTGTGCCAGGAGTTCAAACTAACGAATCAAAAACATCAATTTGTTCTCTTTCTTTTCATGACATACTAGATGTTCTACGGCGCTGTAGACATAATAATGGCCGTCAAGATATCAGTGAGGACCTTGTATTGATAAAATATTTGGCTAGTGCTTGTTGCAGGCTTCTTTCATTTACTGTTAGTGGGTGCTCATGCAATTGAATAATAAAAAGTTTTGAGCACCACTGCATGTATAATAATATGTGTATATTATATAACATCATCATCTAGAGACAGATCTGGGGTAGACATCGGTGATCATCGCCAGTAATTCCTTTGCTCGGATGCTCTTAACGATTCGCTGATCTTTCCCCGTTACCTTTTTGTTTAGGTTCCCTAAGTATGTTGCTCTGGGCCTACCCCTGCCTCGTTGGCTTTCAATTTTGCCAGTGAGAGCAAGATGCTCAAGACCTTTATGTATATTCAGGTGTCCCCCAAAACTGCATTTGTCGTTTCCTGCTTGTTTTTAATAGTGATCGTCCCACGTGTATATTATATTATATTATATA